TTCTTCTTCTTCTTCTTCTTCTTCTTCTTCTTCTTCTTCTTCTTCTTCTTCTTCTTCTTCTTCTTCTTCTTCTTCTTCTTCTTCTTCTTGCGTCCTCCGCAGACCAAACAACTGCAATCGCCGCTATGAAGACGTTTGCAGCCATCGTCTCCTCAACGGTCGGGCACAGGAGCTTGTGTGCCTGCGTGTGTGTGTGTGTATGTGTGTGTGTGTGCCCTGTGTCTGTGCATCTGTGCCCTGTGCGTCGGTGTGTGTATCTGTCTGTGTTTGTGTTTGTGAGTCTGTGTGTCTGTGTTTGTGTGCCTGTGTGTCTGTGCGTCTGTCTGTGTATCCTCGACTCGGCTCAGGTGATACGTCTCTCCACAGTATGTAACCGGCCATGCATCCATCTCACCTTGTCTCTCCCTTCGCCTCCACAACTACACAACCACGGCTTCTGTGCTTACAGCTGGCAGAAGTGCAGCTGTCCCCACTGCTGCGTGTGCCTGAAGCAGAGGCACCAGGGGACAAGAGCAGTGTCGGTACAGACAGCGCACATGCACGCGGCAGCGAAAAGCAACAGCAGTCGGACGCTGATGACGCTGCACACGACATCATGGCACTCCTGTTGAGATATGGATCGGCAACCCAACCATTGGCATCACCATCAGCATCAAAACCACCAGCACAATCAGCACAATCAGCACAATCAGCACCAGCGTCTGTGCAGGTTGAGGCCCTGCAAGCGTTGACGGCGCTCGTGTGTCGCCACCCGCGCGGCCTGACCCATCTCTGGCCACGGCTCTCGCACTTGCTGCTGCAGCTGGCAGGCACAACGGCAGCACACGCGGGCGATGATGGTGATGATGGTGATGATGGTGATGGCGAAGTGGCATCGGTGCCGAAGAAGCAGCAGGTGCAGCCTCAGCAAGTGGTTTCGTCACAGGATGAGGGATTGAATGCGGTTGTGGTCCCACGCATGCTGAAGCTGGTGGAGGAGTTGGGACGATTTCTGCAGACGGCGCCACAACTACAGCACAGCGTACGTGATGCTGCTCTGATCGATCACCATGCGTGGTGGATGCAGTTACGGACACAAAATACGGGCATACCTACACACGCACGCACGCTCACACACGCTCACACACGCTCTCACACACACTCACACACGCTCACACACACACACGCTCACACACGCTCACACACACACACACGCACACTCATGTCAACGTGCGCCTGCATCCGGTTCTCAGCCCAAACCGCCTCAACCCATCTCGCACCTGCTCAACTCAACACACACTCACCCCACCTCCTCCACCACCACTGCCGCCACCACCACGATCTCAGGCGGTTGTCTTCTGGGAGGCATTCACGGAGAGCGCCCTGCAGGAGTGTATTGAGAGCGACGTGCCGTTTGTGCGGTCATGTGCGTGCGACTGCTTGGCCAGCATCGGCAGCAGCGTGTTTGCCCGGCTTCAGGTGGGACATACGTTTGCTTGGGCTTGCTGTGCCGACTTGTGCTGTGGTTGTGTTGTGGTGTACAATTTCGGCGCGAGGAACGATGATGCTTTGCAATGAGGGCCAGCAGAACACACGCGCGCATGTCCCACCGTGCTTTCTCTGCACGCCTCCCGCCCCCCCCCCCCCACACACACACACACACCACACATATGCCTGCGCACCACCCCCCCCCCCCAAATAAAAAACGACAGGCGTGGAAGCAGCGCCACTACCAAGTGCTTCTGCTCGGGCTGAGCCGGGACCAGGCACCGCCAGTGAAGGCTGCGGCAGGGCGCGCACTCGGATCAATGGTGGCATATCCGCACCTTCAGCAGGATGCCATCTTCATGTCGGATATGGTGGACGCGCTCGTTGGCGCAGCGCAGGACGACAACATCACTGTTCGCGTCCGCGCCAGCTGGGCCCTCGGTAAGGACTAGGAAGGGCTGGGGAGGGTGTGTGTGTGTGTCTATGTCTATGCGTGATGTACATTGTGTCTGTGTGCGTGCGTGTATGTGCGAATGCTGTGCTTGTGTGCCCATTTTTTTTTTTTTTTTTTTTTTTTTTTTTTTTTTTTTTTTAACGGCCGCGCCTTGACCTCCTTGCCTTGTTCTGTCAACCCCCCCCCCCTTCCAACCTGCGTCGACCCACCCTCGCACGTGTGTGCTTGCAGGCAACTACTGCAATGCGCTGGGTGCACTGCGCTCCCTCGGACAGCTCGTCCTGAACCGAATCGTCAATGCAGAGCAGTTGCATCGCCTTCTGGACCTTTCTCTCGCCCTCTGCGAAGACAAGGACAAGGTGTGTGTGTGTGGGGGGGGAGGTCTGTGAGTGCGTGTGCGTGTGTGGGTGTGCGTGTGTGTGTGGGTGTGTGTGTGTGTGTGTGTTTCTGTGTCTGTGTCTGTGTGTGTGTCTGTGTGTGAGGGGGGAGGTTCGACTTGCCATTCTGCTTACCTCTGTCTGCGTACCTCTGTTCGTGTGTATGTCATCAACCACGCCCACGTGTGTGTGTCACCTACTGGGCCAACAGATTCGGGCAAATGCGCTCCGGGCTGTCGGCGAACTGGCCCGCATCCTTCCCACAGATGTACGCACACAGACACCCTCCGTTTTCACGTGTGTATGAGCGTGTTTGGGTCCATCTGCATCGGCGTGTGTTCCTTGTGTGTCCTCCTCCACTCACTCAACTCCTCATCGATTTTGCCACCGAACAGGATCGCTTGTTCTTTGAGAAGTGCGTCACTGCCATCGTCAACAACACCCACCGCCGCCCACCGAAGGTGCAACACGAGCCCTCCCCCCCCCCTCGCATGGTTCCTCCCGTGCGCTTCCCCAAATGTGTCCACTCCCACACGTGCACACACGCGCACATCCGCACATGCACAAATGTGCACACGCACACACACGCGCGCGCGCACACACACTCTCTCTCGTCATCTCTCTTCCTCTCGTTCCTCATCACGGCTGTTGTTGCCTTGTTGCCTTGGTACAGGTGCAATGGAACGCGTGTCACGCTGCACGCAACGTTCTGCGCAACCGGGAGCTCAAAGCCATCACCCCTGAGGCTGTGGTGAGCTTGAACGTGCACACAATGCGCGCTGGTACTTCTGTGCTCCTTTCACTTGCTGCGACTTGCGGTAACCGCCATACCACTCCTCATTGCGCTAACTGTGTGCATGTGTGTGTGGTGGGGGGGCGGGGGCGGTTGTCACAGATAAACCTGGTGGACACGCTGCTTGGGACCATCGAGCACAACTCCAACTATAAGGTGCGATGCCTGCGACCACACAGCCGTTGAAGCACACTCGCGTGACTGGCGCTGCAGTATCGCCGCTGTTGCACATGTGTCCTTTGTCATCATCACTAACACTCACACTCACACATGCATGCATGCATGCATTCACACTCACACATGCATGCACACACATGCATTCACACACATGCATTCACACACACACATGCATTCACACACACACACGTGAATGTGTCTGGCACACATCACGCCTCCACGGCGCCCCCCTCCCTTTCCTCGTCGGTAGGTGCGCATTGGCGCTGCCGGTGCCCTGCGCTCGCTCGATCGCTCGGACTGGACCAACCAGCACGCCTTTGCCGCCGCACTCGAGGTACTCGGCTCGGCATGCCTGTAATTGTCCACTTTGCGTGCTTTGTGTGTGTGTGTGTGTGTGTGTGTGTGTGTGTGTGTGTGTGTGTGTGTGCGTGCGTGTGTGTGTGCGCGTGTTGATGTGCCACCGCGTGTGGTGTTGTTTTTGTCTTTGTGCACGCATGCTATGGTGAGCTGAACGGGCTACACATTGCATGCTGTTTCAGACCCTGTTGGCCACGCTGACACCGACTGGGCAGGCAAAGGACTTCAACGAGTACAGATATCGCGAAACGCTGCACAAGGAGGTGGGGCACATTCGAGCTGTAATTGTGTACGCGCGCGCGCGCGTGTGTGTGTGTGTGTGAGTGTGTGTACATATGCGTACACGTGTGTGTGTGTGTGTGTGTGTGTGTGTGTGTGTACATATGCGTACACGTGTGTGTGTGTGTGTACATATGCGTACACATGTGTGTGTGCATACGTACACATGTGTGTGCTTCAGCGCTGGGACGTCACTTGACGTTTTCGCACAAACACGTGTGTATATACGTGTATGTGTTTTGTGCGTTTCAGGTTGCGCTGACGGTACATGAGTTGTTGCTGTCGTCGCCACCTGAGACCCTGAAGGCGGCATCACAAGTCCTTCACGACCAGTCGTCACAACTCTCCATCGTAAGTGTGTTCGAGTGCGGAGATGAGTACAGGAGTACGGCTTCTTGCGGTGTGTGTGCGGGTGAAGTTGTTGTTGCACGGGCGCTGGCGCATCGTGTGCTCCGTTTGTATTCGTTTGCCTTGCGCTCCTTTCCGTATTGGCCACGTCAGCTCACCTTCACGACACCGCGTGCATCCCATCAGATGTTTGGCATTCTGCGCCGCGAGCAGCAGATGCAGCACGGCTCCCGCCCTGCCAGCAGAGAGGCGCCCAGTGCAGACAACACAAGCGACGGCGCGCGCAGCCACGACGAGCACCAGCACCAGCACCAGCAGGCTCGTGGAGGCGACGATGACGGTCCTGAACAGTCTGAGGGCGGCAGCGGCGCTGATATCGCCATTGATGTTGAGGTGCACAGCAATGACGGATGAGAAGAAGGGAGACGCAGAGCGCGAGTGCGGCGGCGTTGTCATCGAAGGGGAGGGAGAAAGGCCTTTGGAGGGCTAGTTTGCTGTGTCCGTACTCTTGCTTGCCTGTTGTCCTGTTGACTGGCGCCTGCACTCACGTGCTGTGATGTGCGTGTGTTTTGTTGTTGTTTGAAGGCGTTGGAAGCAAAGCTGGCTGGGATCGTGGACGTGCCGGTGCATGGAACGCGAGTGGCAATGGCGCACGAACAGCAGAAGCAGAACGGTACAGCGATGGAGGAAAGCGAGACGAATGACGAGGACTAGATGATGATGCTGCTGCTGCTCTGCTGCTGGGTCT